TTTTGAGACGGAGTCTTGCTCTGTTGCCAGGCTGGATGGAGTGCAGTGGTGCGATCTCAGCTCACTGCAACCTCCGCCTCCTGGGTTCAAGCAATTCTCCTGCCTCAGCCTCCCGAGTATCTGGGACTACAGGCACACGCCACTACGCCCAGCTAATTTTTGTATTTTTAGTAGAGACAGGGTTTCACCATATTGGCCAGGATGGGCTCAATCTCTTGACCTCGTGATCCGCCCACCTCGGCCTCCCAAAGGGCTGGGATTACAGGCGTGAGCCACCATGCCCAGCCTACTTCTTTTTTTTTTTTTTCGAAGTCCAGAGTTCAAGACGAGCCTGGGCAACACGGGGAAACCCAGTCTCTATTAAAAATACAAAATATTAACTGGGCATGGTGGCGCACACCTGTAATCCCAACTACTTGGGAGGCAGAAGCAGGTGAATCAATCACTTGAACCCAAGAGGTGGAGCTTGCAGTAAGCAGAGATCCTGCCACTGCACTCCAGCCTGGGCAACAGTGAGACTCCATCTCAAAAAAAGAAAAAAGTAGCCAAGTGTGGTAGCATTCACCTGTAATCCCAACAAGTTGGGAGGCTGAGTCAGGAGAATCACTTGAACCCAGGAAACAGAGTTTGCAGTGAGCTGAGATCATGCCACTGTACTTCAGCCTGAGTGAGAGAGTGAGACTCTATCTCAAAACAACAAAAAATTAATACTGCTGTAGTCTTCAGATACTATCTTTCTACAATTCCTCTTAATGTGGGGTTTTGTTTGTTTTGAGATAGAAAATGGCATGATCTTGGCTCACTGCAACCTCTGCCTCCCAGGTTCAGGCAATTTTCCTGCCTCAGACTCCTGAGTAGCTAGGATTACAGGTGAGAGCCACCACACCTGGCAAATTTTTGTATTTTAGTAGAGATGGGGTTTCATCATGTTGGCCAGGCTGGTCTCTAACTCCTGACCTCAAGTGATCTGCCCAAAGTGCTGGGATTACAGGCTTGAGCCACCCTGCCCGGTGGTGTGATCATGGCTCACTGCAGTCTCAATCTCCTGGGCTCAAGCAGTCATCCTGCTTCAACTTCCCTAGTAGCTGGTACTACAGTAGGGCGCCACTGCACAGGAGTATAATGTGGGATTTTTAAATTTTTGAATCTTAAATAACTGATGACAACCCAGAGAAGTAATTAAGGAAGTGTAGAGATTGAAGGCCCAGGAAATTCTTAAGAGACAATATGAACCTTTTGATCCCAAAATCACACCAATAATAGGGCTTGACAAGTACTGTGGCACAGTTTACTAGAATCACTGGAACCGGTTTTGGCTGTAAAGTTTTGCACAATTTACAGTCGTCATTAAAAAGCTGACCCCCAATATTTGTTTTCCTTTAAGCAAACAGCAAAATCCAAGTCTACGTTGGGTCACTTATGGTGTTTATAAAAGGAGTGCCCAGAATGTCTCACTAAAACCCCAGGGTCTTTGTAAGGGATCTTCCTCTTTTCCCTGTTAACCAGCCCTGAAGAATGGGTTCCTGATTTAGACCTTCCACCACCCCAGCCTCTGCTGGAGTAGCAAAGGTCCCACTCCCCGTAACCTGGCTGTCATTAGTCAAGTGATTACTAGAAAGAGCTTACAGCAGGTCAGGGCAAACATCTAGCAGAGCATTGAAGCGGCCAGAGTCCAGGAATGTTATAGAGGCCGCTTGCATCCCACTTGCCCACAATCCTGCCCCCGCCACCCAGAGCGCGGCTGGGTCTTCAAGGCATGTACCCACCTCCGGCCAGAAAGGAGCGCAGCCAGTAGAAATCCCTGCGGGCTGTGGGCCCTCCAGCTCCTGCCGCCTGCGGCATCGCGGGAGGGGGGTCGGCCGGCGCCAGGGCTGCTGCTGCCGCCGCCGCCGCCGCCATCAGGACCAGGGTAGTGTCAGGAGCCTAGGCTGCAAAACTTACACAACACCGGTCGGAACCATAGCCCGACCAGATGGCAACAGGAGGCCGACAGCCCCGCCTGCGGGGCGGAATAACACCAGGCGGCGCGGCGCGGCGCAAGCTGATGGCGTATAGCAGGGGCGGGGCCCGAATCACGCGCCGAGGGAATCGGGCGGGAGGGGCGGGGCCCGGACGCGGAAGGGGGAGTCACCCAGACTTGTAGACCTCCCTATTCCGCCTCACCTGGCGTTGCTACTTCCGTGCTCTCTGCTCTGGCCCCTTCTGTTCAGACGGAAAAAGGGAAACGTGGGCAATGAGATGGTCCCATCAAAACGCACAACCTGGCCTGGCGCGGTGCCTCATGCTTGTAATCCCAGCACTTTGGGAGGCCGAGATGGGCGGACCACCTGAGGTCAGGAGTTCGAGACCAGCCTGGCCAACATGGTGAAACCCTGTCTCTACTAAAAATACAAAAAGCCGGGCGCGGTGGCTCAAGCCTGTAATCCCAGCACTTTGGGAGGCCGAGGCGGGTGGATCACGAGGTCAGGAGATCGAGACCATCCTGGTCAACACGGTGAAACCC